CTGGCCACGTGCTTTATCCCGGAGTCCAGTGTTTCGGACACGCACAACACTCCTCCGGACAGGTCCTAGGCGTTTGAACTGACTCCTAAATCATTACTCCTCTGCTTCGAAGCAACGACTTGGGAGGCTCCTGTTCTGGATTGGGCCATAGGCTGGCCCACCGTCAGGCACGACCCAACCCAGCTCCCCATCGGGGAGGGCCTAATGAAGGCCCAATCCTTCAACGCCCACATAGAGCTCTAACACATCTCTGCAACAGTCTCCACATGCTCCCCACGCGGGGACACGTCATCAGGAAACTACCCACGTCCGAAAGAACAGACCACCACCTTCTGGAGATCACGGGGCAGTTGACCTAGGGAGAAGACCACGTGCTGGTCTTCCCTACGCCACATAAGCCCTGGCAGTTACTCATATTGGGCCTTGCAATCCAACCCAGTGCAAAGTAATCGTTGGCTCAGCCCTAGAGGCACACTATAAATACCCTTTTTCACTACAGGGTCAGGTATTCAATTATCTACACACTTTCTCTGTACTTGCACTTTCTACTCTGTCTCTTACTTTGGTATCGGAGTACCTTGCAGGTACACCCCCTCCTCTTCTCCATCATCGGGAATTAAGGAGCTCACGACTTGTTACTGGATGTTGATCCTTTTCTAATCCGGTAAGATCAGAAATAAAATTGGCATTGAGTAAGCCTTGGACCATGTTTATGGTGGCTTTAGATTTTTCATGGAATTGTCGTCTCCTTCATTCCGCTACATACCAGGTGGATGGATCGATATTCAATTGGTAATAAGCCATGCTAGGGTCGATGTTGGGCATTTCGCTTGGAGAAACTGCGAAGAGATCGACATTAGCTTTAAGGAATTCAATGATCCCTTTATTCAATGAGTTTGATAAATGAACTCCTACACTGATTGATATTGTTGGATTCATTTTAAGTTGTATCACCTCGAATCTTCCATCTGGAACCAGTCTTGTGGTCTTTGCGTTGGGCTCGAGTGGTGAATTGATTTCATCGTTTGGTACGACCCTACCTTTGCGTACATTTGAGGTCAAGCGCTTTAAAAGCGAACAAAGGAGTTTTCTTCACTTTCTTCTTATAAATGAGAGAGGTTGCTCTAGGAATCCCTAATATTTATTGTGAATTAGGAGGGCTCTATATAAATTTATTGGAGTTACATCTGATTCACCAAAGTTGTGTGGTATTGCATCTTCGCGTGGATAGTATAAGCCACCACATATAGCTCAGTGAGGAAAGACCTTCCTAAAATGCAATTATAGACACTTTCATATGGATCACTAAGAAAAAAACATTGAAGGTTCTCTCGTTTTTCTCTTCACCAAAATAACCCACTAATTAAATGGATTTCCAAGGGCGAGTAGTGGAATCGTTGAACACCGAGAGACTCCTACTTTTTCATGGCGTGAGGTCCCTACCACGTAGCCAAAATCTCATAAATACATCGACTCACATGACGTCACAAGAGTTTTCATCGTCAATAAGAGTCCTAGTGGTTAGCTATTGTGGAAATTACAACCAATGCAAGCACCACATTCGAAATCCTGTCCACCTTTTCGTTGTCTATGAACCCTAGGATAAGTCTATCTTCTCCCTGCCTCTTACTTGCCACCATTGATCTTGAAGACCCTTGTGTCATACACTTTTTGTTTACTTTCTCCTTGCTATACGATCCACTGTCGATCGAAGAGAAAACGAGATAGGAGGATGGTTTCGAGGTTGATGAACTCGTGGTTCTGGCAAGTGGATTAGAGATCATCATCATCCTTCAAGTAAGATTGATTTAGTCTATGTGACTTTAGAATTAGAAATATATGATCGTGGAGATACGTGAGAATCAGAAGGCGATTCTCAAAGACAATGCCTATGTTTCACGCTGGAACCATAAATGATAGATGCAAAGGGAATGATATTTGTTAGGGCGTCGTCAAGTGCTTTTTGTACATAGGAGCAAGATAGACTTGTAAGGTTATCACTCCAACACTCAAGTCAGTGAACAATAGATGAGAAGTGATAATGCAAGAGTGAGATCATACCTTAAATGTCGTGATGTTAGGCAATGGTAAACGATTAAATTCGTTTATATCTAACTCGACGTGAAATGCAAAAAATCGTCTAATCAAATTCAATGGCAGATGAGACATTAGTAGATAGGATCAGGTGTCTGACTTTTAACAAAGTCTTACCTGCTTCTTTATTCACTGAATGAATACTATAATTAGATCTCATTTTTGGACCTATAATCGACTCGAAACAGACAAGCAACAAATATAAAATCTATAAAAGACATATAATATCAATTAATATGAATGAAACAGTGTTGAAAAAATTGCTTAGACATTTCTCTGTCGTGTTAATTTTATTTAATTTATATATCCATTTGACATCATATAGTTTTTATTTTTTTCATTTGACAACATTTATCATTTCTTCTATAATAACTTTTTTCTTCTATTTTAAACTTTTCATATTATACTATGTTGTGATTATAAATCTTAACTACTTTCTCTATCAGTTAGTAAATAAAAAAACCATTAAAAAATCATATTATTTAAATAGAAATAACTTGCATAAAAAAACATATTAGTTTGATTTAAAATTTAATTAATAGTTTTGTTTTCAAGGAGGAAGTTAAGATATAAATATTCTTATGTAGAATATTATTATGGTATCAAAATACGACAAATAAATTTTCCATAATTATTAAAAAAAAATAGACTTTTTTTTTTCAAAATTGCATTTTCTTAAAACAAATTTGATGTTCATGAATACATTAAAAATCGCCAAATTTTCTTGATTATTTTTCTGCCAAACAGATTTTACGCACAATTTGTGGTGCATTGATCTCTGAAATTCAACTTTCAAGTGTTTAAAGTTATATTTATATATATATATATATATATATATATATATATATATATATATATATATATATATATATATATATATATATATATATATATATATATATATATATATATATATATATATATATATATATATATAAAAGTTGGGTAATTATTATTCTGGAGATGTATTTCTAGAATATTTTTAAAAATACCTTAATTATTTGTCAGTTCAATAAAAATTTCAGAGTTATATCTCTAAAATTATAGGTGAAATTTTGAAATTTTATGTCACCTTTACCTGTAATATATTTTCTGGGATGCATCTCTAAAATAATCTGATAAAAGAACAAGTTGTATAATCACACAACCATTGTTATCATAATTGGTTTCCAACCAAACCCTTTACCAAGAAATCATTCATTCTCAATCAATTTTTTACTCCAAATCTCCATTCTTTTGATTCATTTACCTCTGCATTGCTTACATTAATCATCATTTTTTTCTAAAAAATAGTAGCATTGTATCTGGAAAAGTATCTCTGGACCGTATATGAACTTTTCCGGAGATGCATTTCCGAAAGTTGTCTGTGTTCATTTTTCAAGTCATTCTCCAACAGTAGCGCTTATGTATTGTTTTAAGGTTCTGTTTTGGAACTGGCTCAGGACAAGTTCTAGAGATGCATCTCCGGAACAATATCATAAGATGTTATTCCAGAGATATATCTCAGAAATCAATATGTCAATTATTGAGTGGTCCTTGTTGATCTATGTCTTCAATAAATTAAGGTGCTCTAATGTTATATTTTATACAAATTTAAAATGCCTCAAATGTCACAAATAAACATCTATTGATATGTTGCAAAGGTCTCTTTTTCCAGCTCTACACTCGGGCGAATGTTTAAACTCACCGATTTCACCTCCCTCAAAGATATCTAAGAGAAATTCATCATCTCCTACCTTACGAGACAGTTGAAAGATTGTAAAACTCGAGTACCGTTCACCGTCGATTTACGACTGATGGAAGATTGTGTTCAACAAATTTGAGCTCAAGGCGCAAGTAGATGTAAGAGCTATGTGGAATATGTATTTCCGTTTCGAAACAAAAATTTCACTTAAGTTAGAAACGACAGTTTCAAGATCGGTCGAAGATATTGCGAAGATATTAAAGCGTCCACCTAAATATTGAAGTGTAATGTTTCATTTTATGTTGAAATCATCTTAGTAATGCTTATTTTATGTTATAAATGTTAATTTCATTTTGAAAAATTATTTGGCGTTGAATCTACTACTGATATGTCTTAGGAAATGTAACTCCGATAATATTTCGAAGATATATCTCTAAAATAAAGTAAACAAAAAAGGGCATAATTTAAAAATGGTCTTACTTGAGTTTGTGTTGAGGTGCATCCAAAAATGCATCTCCAAAGACCAAAAACATTTGTTGAAATTCACGTGATTTACAAAGAAAAAAAAATATAGAATGCATTAAGAAATTCTTTTTCCTCCTATTTGGGATCACTTTTGAATTAGTTTGACCACTTCCATTGTTTTATCATTTGCAAACCTCACATTGTTTTTTTCTTGATGAATCCAAGTCAACTAACAACTCATTTAAAATTGTCATGTGATTTGGGCAGCCAACTTCAAGAAATCGTAATGTTGATTTTAAGTAATCATCAATTATAATAGACATCAAAACTAGATCAGAATATGAATTGTCAGAATCTTCCTCTTGAGCAATACAAGCTTCTTATGCATAATATCAGCTTGCACCATCAAGGAATATATAATGCTAATCAATAGCAATGAATGGTGGGAGAAAACCATCAAGGAAAAATATGAAATTAACGAGTCACTATGCAAACCATAGATCCTTCTTAGCTGATACGGCTTTATTATTTGGACAGATTCAGGCAAAATAATACTTGGAGAACAGCATAAAGACAAATCTAATGCACTATTTTCAAAATGGAATGAAAAGACAAATATTAATACGCAATACGGTAGATAACCCCATTCCATATTTCATGCTGTCATAGTACAAAAACGCATGCAGTACATGCCTTAGATACAAAAATAGCACAATGTGAATAAGGGGTTCACCATTAGAACTTTCAAAAGAGGCAATTACTTGCTAGAAATTGTCAAAAGGAGACCATAATGATCACTGGGTAAAACAGGGAGTACCAGTTGTTTGATCTCATTTCTTACTTTCTTCTCTTTGATGTGTGACACACCAGGTATTTCATCCATCCCAATCATGTCAATACTACTTATCTCAAGATCACACAAATGGCAAACAAAACGATCTAATCGTTTTTGGAGAGTCCGATTGCCTGACAACATCTGGTTTGACTTGGTATCATACGTCCAACCAGTTTCCTTTGGTCTTAGCTCAGACCAAGCATCAACCCACCCGTCTTGTAACGGATATTGACCATCTTTTTTTTCATCCCAGTTCATGTCACCCCCAAAAACAACATTAGGGTACCTCTTGAGAATGTTCAGAGCCTCATTAGCTTGCTCCACTCGTTCCTTGGTGAACATTTGATCCCATTTTGGAGGGGCTGGACTGGGACTCTCTAGATGGCTGGTGGCTAAAACCAACGACTTGCCGCTCACATCCTCCACTTCAGCAATGCAAAGTTCTCTTCCCATTATAGAGTTACTAAATGATTTGGTGGAGAATGATTTCACAGGTAGTTTGCTTAACTGAAATTGATTCAACAGATATTTCAGTACATATAACTCCCTTTTTATCAGAGAAGAATGTTCAATAATAAGTGTTTAAATTTCCCATTTATTCAAAAGACACTAGAGAGAAACAGAATAAACTAACTACAGATTACACAATCAAAATATGATAAATATCAGAACAGATTTCATGCTAGTAGACAATATAACTCTGAAATAAATCATATCATCAAAACTAATGATCAAGGTTTTAAATGAAAGCCACAATTGCATAGAGGCTTTTGCAATTTCGGCCAGTACAGGTGTTACAATCCTGATTGCAGTCGTCATGGTGTGAATTAACCAAACCGTGAATAACAGTATCGATATCGTATAGGTACCTTCCAATACAGTTTTTTGTGGTTTTTTTTTTTCGCGGTAACGGACTGTTTTCATTGACTATGATCATCATATTATCAGGCCGATTACAAAGGTTATGAAACATAAGTTCAAATGGAAATAAAGGTTAAAAAATTTACCAGCATACAAAAGTAGGGTCTTGAATGAGCCTTCTCAGAAGAAACTGAACAATGATAAACATTCCACCAGGAGGATCGCTTGAAAATGTCATATATATCAGGAGTAACCTCCTGAGACACAACTCGACAAAATAAAACCAAGCCACACAAATACAAAAAGTGTATTGTAAATAAATATTAAGTAGTGTGAAAATGAAACCTGAAAACAGATAAAATCAGGGGAATGCAATTGAACAAGGTCACCAATAGCGTTCATCCTCTTGTGCAACTCCAAGTCTTCGCGGAACCAAACATTGTAACTTAAAATCTTCAACGAACTAAAACCTTTTCCAGAATCATCTTTCTCTGCAAAACATTTCTTAACTAGTTAATACAAAATGCACACAGTAGTAGAAATTAATAAATAAATAAACACACCGGTGAGATCAATGGGGTTGCTGGAACGCTTTGAAACCAATGGTTGAGGAGAATCTTCAGAGGAGTCTAGGGCTTTCCTTTTGCAAGATCGAAGAGGCAAGAAAACAGAGCCAACGGAATCATCGTGTTCGATTTCAGTCAAATCGTGAAAAGTGGAAACGGAAAGAGCGTGGCTTCGAGTACCGCAGAGGTGGCAAGTGGAGTTTTTGTAAGAGTTGAAGAGAGTGCACGATTTGCAGGACCATTTTGGGGAAATGGAAGAAGAGGAAGGAGAGGGGGAGAGAGATGGAGGTGGAGGTGAGGATGAACACATTTGACATTCGGAGATTTGTGAAGGAGGATTGAGGAAGGTGCATTTGTGGCATGACCAAGAAGACATTGATGATGGGATTTGGGAATGAAAGTTGGAGTTTTTGAAATTTAGAATTCTAGGGTTTGGGAGTGGAGTATGAAGTGAAGGAAAGGGTAAGGAACAAAACGCGAGCATTTGTGTTTCTCATTTCACTGGAATCAATACAAAACGCATTCATTGAAATCCAACGGTTCGTTCTTCAAAAACGGCAACTTCTCCATGTTTTTATTTTTAAATAAATGAGCTTCATAGGGTAATCAAAAGGCATAAAAAAAGGATAATGCTAAATGTGGAAATTTTGGTTAATTGTACTGTACGTTGATTTTCCAAAATTCAAACTTTGTTTTTTTTTTTCTTTCTTAATATAAACATTTCTTATAGTAGAACTTTTATTTTTCATAACTACTGCTCTCTTCATTCCTTTTTTTTTAAGTATTATTTTCAATTTTTATATAAAAACTACTAATAACTTTTATTGCCTGTTACTAGTAGTAAACAATAATAATTGTCCTTTTATTTAAAATATCCAAGTTGTTAATGCTACAGTTTAATTAATTTAATTAAGAAACTAATATAAACTATTTTAATTTGTTCAAAATTAAATTGAATATTTGGTACCGTTTATTCCAAATTGTTATATACTTTTTCAAAACACAATCGTTTGATAAGGTGAAATGTACAATTATACTTTTTTAAATAAAAAATTCATTTTAGATTTTTCATTTTATTATATTATTATTGTTGATAAGAATGTTTTCATTTAAATTCAAATTAGTTTAAATTAAAATATGTGTTGAGAAGATTTTTATTGGACTTCAAAGAAAGATAGTTCATAAAGAATTAAGACAAGTCAAATTCATTAGTATCAAGAAAGTATTTCCATATCACCGTAGGCCGCACTAGGTATATTTTAAGGTGTCTAAAATGGGTTTGGCCATCCGAAGTGATTTTGTTATTCATCTATTTAGTGAACGTATATAGTGACGTGTTCATACTCCAACCATATTCTCCATATGATAGGAGTGATAGTTAACATTGTTAGATAATCTTTCTATGTCGAATGGATCCAGACTGAATCGTGAACGAAATCACTTTCCTTAAAAGTATTTCAGGCACACTCTCAAATTGTCTTAGAGTTGGAACGGCCTGAATACCCAGGATAAGTCAGCCTTTTTCTCGAAACTGCACAAGACTGGTGAAGTTTCGAATGCAAGGAAAACGTTGGAATTTCAATATCACCGTAGGCCGCACTAGGTATATTTTAAGGTGTCTAAAATGGGTTTGGACATCCGAAGTGATTTTGTTATCCATCTATTTAGTGAACGTATATAGTGACGTGTTCATACTCCAACCATATTCTCCATATGATAGGAGTGATAGTTAACACTGTTAGATAATCCTTCTATGTCGAATGGATCCAGACTGAATCGTGAACGAAATCACTTTCCTTAAAAGTATTTCAGGCACACTCTCAAATTGTCTTAGAGTTGGAACGGCCTGAATACCCAGGATAAGTCAGCCTTTTTCTCGAAACTGCACAAGACTGGTGAAGTTTCGAATGCAAGGAAAACGTTGGAATTATATGGAAGAGGATTTCAGAATTTTGGAGTGTTTGATTTCGAATGATTTCGAATTATCAATCATATATTTATAGCCATGCATGTGTCTTTTCAGAAGTTTGCAATTCTTCATAAACACCCTCTCTAATGAGCATTTGCAATGGTTCAAATAAAATGATATGCACCAATTCATGAAGTGTCATGTATTTCGAATCCCAATTGCTCCGATGAGGATTTCAGAATTTTGGAGTGTTTGATTTCGAATTATCAATTATATATTTATAGCCATGCATGTGTCTTTTCAGAAGTTTGCAATTCTTCATAAACACCCTCTCTAATGAGCATTTGCAATGGTTCAAATAAAATGATATGCACCAATTCATGAAGTGTCATGTATTTCGAATCCCGATTGCTCCGATGCGTCGTGCCCAAGTGCTCAAGTGCCGTCTACAAGCCGCCACTAGCGCCTCTACGCCCACGCCCACGCCCACGCCCCCGGATCCGGTTCCGGTTCCGGAGCCGGTGTCGCCGGTGGCGACACCGACGATGGGTGTTTTGTATGAGACAAGTGACATAAGTTTTGGCACCACCACATATGACTATGTGGCACTTTATCCTCTTTGGCTCTTTTGGAAATTACATTGTTCCAAGTGCCTTATAAATGCTATTTAATTTTATTCCTCTTCCAATGTGGGACTAAGCATTTATTGTCAATTAAATATAACACCCACTTTGTCATTTTGGAACAACATTAATGGAAATAAAATATTATTTCCAACAATCCCCCACTTGTTCTAATAATGACAAAATAATAATTCCAGAAATGGGACATAAGAAGTATTAATACAGTTAAGTATCTTTCGATTTTAAACTTAACCTTAGTAAGAATAACACAAGGTTTAATCAGAATATTAGGTAGCAATGCTTTTAAGCCATGAATCCATATGAATAGACCGGTGTTACCTTACACACACTCCTTAAAGATTCTTCCTCTGCATAACTCGCTTAGCACTTATTTATGGCCATGTGCTATCCTGTTTCATGAATTTTTCATGAGAGAAACTCCAACTCTCACTTTGAGACGGCACCATCTCATAATTCACATAGGTGAAGTTCATATAGTATCTGTTTCCAATAGATACGTACCCTCGGTATTGAACTTCATTAAGAGTTTAAAATAAAACTCAACCCTCATTTCTAATGTCAACATAATTATGAAATGTTAGACAATTATCCAAATCAACGACTTGTTGTTACCCATTGAAAATCTTAACGTTAATGTTCTGTTAACTTAAGATTGGGTTGCCGCCATTGTCGGAACTCTTACTCAAGGAGTTTCAACCCCATACCTCTCGAGGTTGTTCTTACTAAGTCTCTGGCCAGTGGCTTAGTAAACGGATCAGCCAAATTATAGCTTGTTCGTATATACGTAAGTGAAATGATTCCATCCTTAATCAGTTTTCTTACGAACGAATGTCTAAGTCCTATATGCCTGGACTTTCCATTATACACTTCGCTAAATGCTCTTGCCAAAGTGGCCTGACTATCGCAGTGTATCATTACCTTTGAAACATTGTCTTTAGACAATGGAACTTCCAAAAGAAGATCCCTCAACCACTCTGCCTCTTGACTAGCGGAAGCGAGAGCCACGAATTCTGATTCCATGGTCGAAAGAGTAATGCATGTTTGTTTCTTGCTCTTCCAAGAAATTGCTCCTCCAGCTAGTGTAAATATCCACCCAGTTGTAGATTTGTGATTTACCACGTCAGAGATCCAACTGGCATCGGTATATCCTTCTAATATAGCAGGAAACCTACCATAATGAAGGCCAAGATCTTTGGTTTTCAACAAATAACCAAATATCCTCGTGATTGCCTTCCAATGTTCATTACTTGGATTACTAGTAAATCTACTCATTTTACTAACTGCAAATGATATATCGGGTCTAGTACATTGCATTAAGTACATAAGACATCCGATCGCACTTGCATATTCTAATTGAGCCACTGCTCTTCCATCATTCTTTTCAAGTTTGATTGCATGATCAAATGGAGTAGTTACTTCCTTGAATTTCAGGTGTTTGAACTTATCAAGCATTTTCTCAATATAATGTGTTTGATTAAGTTCATAACCCCCACTATTTTGCTTAACTTTTATTCCTAAAATTGTGTCAACAAGCCCAAGATCTTTCATCTTGAAAGTGGAAATTAGAAACCTTTTTGTTTCTAAAATTCCATTAAGTCTATTGCTAATTATTAGCATGTCATCAACATAAAGACACAAAAATATTACAGTGTTATTATACACTTTTGTATATAAACACTTGTCACAAGAATTAGGAATAAATCCATTTGACATTATCGTAGAGTCAAACTTTTGATGCCATTGTTTTGGTGCTTGTTTTAAGCCATATAGAGATTTGACAAGTTTGCACACCTTCTGTTCATTTCCAGGAAGGACGTGTCCTTCTGGTTGTTCCATGTAGATTTCCTCATCAAGGTCTCCGTTTAGGAATGTTGTTTTAACATCCATTTGATGAACAATCAGATCATTTAAAGATGCTAAAGCAAATAACAACCTTATAGTGGTTGTTCTCGCTACAGGTGCATAAGTGTCAAAATAATCTATACCTTCCTTTTGTCTAAATCCTTTTGCCATTAATCTTGCTTTATAAGTATTTAATGTACCATCACTATGATATTTCTTTTTAAACACCCACTTGCATCCAATGGGTCTTGATCCCTTTGGTAAATCAACAAGTTCCCAAGTGTGGTTGGACATAATTGAATCCATTTCATCTCGGATAGCATCTTTCCAAAAAGAGGAGTCTCTAGAAGCTATTGCTTCCTTATAAGTTTTAGGATCTTCCCCTACTTGAAGAATTACCGGAATGCTTTTAATAAAATTTGTACTATTTCCTTCAACCAGATAAAATGAAATGGATTGAGAATCAATTTCGTCTGGTCCTAGGTTCTTTATTTTCCGGACTCTTTTGCTTATCCTAGGTTCGGGTCGTGGTTCATTTATTCGAGATGTGCCTTCAGGTTGTATTTCTACAATCCGAGAAGAGTCTTTTTCACAAGATTCTTTATTTATGGGCGACTCTGATTCTTTATCCTTAGTTATAAGGTTTTCAAAGAATTCTACATCCCGGGATTCAACAATAATATTAGACTCTAAATTTAAAAGTCTATATGCTTTGCTATTTTGTGCATATCCTACAAATGCACATCTTATCCCTCGAGGACCCAACTTGGTTCTCTTAGGATCCATGTTTTTGAATATGCCACACACCCCCACACCTTAAAATAGCCAATATTTGGTGTCATGCCCTTCCATACCTCATATGGAGAAATTCCACTTTTCTTTAAGGGAATTCTATTTATTATGTGACAAGCGGATAATAAAGCTTCGCCCCACAAATTGAAAGGTAGTTCGGAATGCAATAACATGGCATTCATCATTTCTTGATATGTTCGATTCTTTCTTTCTGCTATGCCATTTTGTTGTGGTGTTCTAGGTGCCGAACATTCATGTATTATACCATGTTCTTCACAAAATGCATCAAATTCAGTA